CCTAGCAACAAGAACATACCCAACTCCCTGTTCCTAGCAACAAGAAAATACCCAACTCCCTGTACCTAGCAACAAGAACATAACCAACACCCTGTACCTAGCAACAAGAACATAACCAACTCCCTGTATCTAGCAATAAGAACATAACAAACTCCCTGTCCCTAGCAACAAGAACATAACCAACTCCCTGTCCCTTGAAACAAGAACATACCAAACTCCCTGTACCTGGCAACAAGAACATAACCAACACCCTGTACCTAGCAACAAGAACATAACCAACTCCCTGTACCTAGCAACAAGAACATAACCAACTCCCTGTCCCTAGCAACAAGAACATAACCAAATCCCTGTACCTAGCAACAAGAACATAACCAACTCCCTGTACCTCGCAACAAGAACATACCCAACTCCCTGTACCTAGCAACAAGAACATAACCAACACCCTGTACCTAGCAACAAGAACATAACAAACTCCCTGTACCTTGCAACAAGAACATATCCAACTCCCTGTACCTAGCAACAAGAACATAACCAACTCCCTGTACCTAGCAACAAGAACATAACCAACTCCCTGTACCTCGCAACAAGAACATACCCAACTCCCTGTACCTAGCAACAAGAACATACCCAACTGCCTGTACCTAGCAACAACAACATAACCAACTCCCTGTACCTAGCAACAAGAACATAACCAACTCCCTGTCCCTAGCAAAAAGAACATAACCAACTCCCTGTCACTAGCAACAAGAACATAACCAACTCCCTGTACCTAGCAACAAGAACATAACCAACTCCCTGTACCTAGCAACAAGAACATACCCAACTCCCTGTCCCCAGCAACAAGAACATAACCAACTCCCTGTACCTAGCAACAAGAACATACCCAACTCCCTGTACCTAACAACAAGAACATACCCAACTCCCTGTACCTAGCAACAAGAACATAACCAACTCCATGTACCTAGCAACAAGAACATAACCAACTCCCTGTACCTCGCAACAAGAACATACCCAACTCCCTGTACCTAGCAACAAGAACATAACCAACACCCTGTACCTAGCAACAAGAACAGAACCAACTCCCGGTCCCTAGCAACAAGAACATAACCAACTCCCTGTACCTAGCAACAAGAACATAACAAACTCCCTGTACCTTGCAACAAGAACATACCCAACTCCCTGTACCTAGCAACAAGAACATAACCAACTCCCTGTACCTAGCAACAAGAACATAACCAACTCCCTGTACCTAGCAACAAGAACATACCCAACTCCCTGTACCTAGCAACAAGAACATAACCAACTCCCTGTACCTAGCAACAAGAACATAACCAACTCCCTGTACCTAGCAACAAGAACATAACCAACTCCCTGTACCTAGCAACAAGAACATAACAAACTCCCTGTACCTAGCAACAAGAACATAACCAACTCCCTGTACCTAGCAACAAGAACCTAACCAACACCCTGTACCTAGCAACAAGAACATAACCAACTTCCTGTCCCTAGCAACAAGAACATACCCAACTCCCTGTACCTAGCAAGTAGAACATACCCAACTCCCTTTCCCTAGCTACAAGAACATACCCAACTCCCTGTACCTAGCAACAAGAACATAACCAACTCCCTGTCCCTAGCAACAAGAACATACCCAACTCCCTGTACCTAGCAACAAGAACATACCCAACTCCCTGTCCCTAGCAACAAGAACATAACCAACTCCCTGTACCTAGCAACAAGAACATAACCAACTCCCTGTACCTCGCAACAAGAACATACCCAACTCCCTGTACCTAGCAACAAGAACATAACCAACACCCTGTACCTAGCAACAAGAACAGAACCAACTCCCGGTCCCTAGCAACAAGAACATAACCAACTCCCTGTACCTAGCAACAAGAACATAACAAACTCCCTGTACCTTGCAACAAGAACATACCCAACTCCCTGTACCTAGCAACAAGAACATACCCA